TTTATAATATTTTATAATATTATAATAAAATATAATATAATACTTTATAATATTACACACATATACACCCACTGATATCTATGTATGTATAATGAACACCTTCACCTTATATACAGATTATTATAGTACTTTTCTTACCATTTCTTAGTCAAATTGTGTGCTTGCAGCTCTTACTTTATCTAAACACATAATTATGTCATCTCTCTGTTCAAATCTAAGGATCCTCATTAAATAAAAAGCATCTTTGCGTAGGATTTAATTCTGACCATAGTCACCTACAAATTATTTATTTTGACCTATTCTCAAGCAATCTTTTTCTTTTAATCCTCAGCTCTTGCTCTATGATTCATTAACTCACTGGTGTGACAGTGGGAAACTACATCTACTATTAGAATAAACATTGGGGAACTCATGAATACCATATTATAATTATATTTCTTGATATCAGTGGTACTGGAGTTATTCATGAAATTGCAAACACATTTCTCAGGGGTTTTAACCCCTCTGAGACAGGGGTTTTTACAATAAGGCCCTTGGACCAGAGGCCTCTGCATCTCTCTGGACCACGTTAGGAATGCAAATTTCTCAGGCCTCCCAGGGGAGAGCCCAGCAGTCTCTGTTATAACAAGCCCTCCAGGCGATTCCTTTGCATGCTAAAGTTTGAGAACCCCTGCTCCAAGTCATTGTTAATCACCAATGCCTTCTAAGTAAAGGCATTCCAAATTAGCTAGGTAGTCATCTGGTAAGACCTTGAGAAATGAAGCAAGATGTAGGTGAGTTTTGACATAGCCTGGAAGGGGTTAGGGAAAGGGGAAGAGGCAGGGGATAGTTGAGGAAAATACTGGCCTATCAGATGAAGGCACTGCGGTAGGCCAAAGAACAATTTTACCTTCTAAATTTTTCACAGGGCCAGCTCTACTGAGGATAGGATTATAAATTGACTGAATTAATTACAACGCAAAAGATACGAATAGAAAATCTGGTCACTCGGTTATCAAAAGAAGGCTCAGTTCTGGAAGAATCCAGGGTCTGGAAAAAGCACCACTCACCCATACAGACCAGGAGACAGAGTATGGCCAACACTGTATCTAGTTTCCTGCCAGTCAGACCTGGTATCTAATGCACCAGCGATGTCACCTCCTCTCTCGTGGCAGTTCTGCCTGCCCTTGGGCCTCAGTTCCCAGGACTGTATGTGCACTTTGTTCCAGCT